CCTCCGATCCGTCCCTCATCGATCCTCCGAGATCCTTCCTTCATCGAGCCTCCTCGTGATCGCATCTAGCGCCTCATCCGATCCTTCCCTCATGGATCGCAGCGCCTCCATCGTGTTCTGGCTGAGGCGCTCTCCGTTGGTGACGGTGTTGATCGCCTCCAGGGTCGGTACGAATGCCTCCCCTTCACGCGTTCCCACGGGCGCGGATCGGGGAACAGAATCGAGACAGTACAGTCGGGGCGTTGACCTAAGGAACCCTAAATAAGGAACGCGGCCCCTGTTTCCCATACGTTCATCCTCGGTTTCCCCTGGAAAGCCTCAGGAAAACCCGACGCAAACTGTGAAACATTCCAGGAACACCGAGCCCCTCCCCAACGAAAAGGATTCATTCTTCAGCGCCCCGACTGTATGAAGATAATGACCTATAGGCAGGGGGCACGGTTGACTACCTATAGCATCTCTTGTGGACCCTTCTCCCGATCGAATCGCTCGACCTTCGTCCGCCTCATGCAGCTCGCCCCTCTCGATCCTCGGGGCAGGATGCACCCCTCCCCTCCTTCAGCGCTGCGTAGCAAGGGCGGTCACCACTCTTCTGGCACGGGTAGCTTCCGAAGTCGGGGATCGTCGGATGTCCTCGCGGCGGTGCGAGGGCGAGGCTCAAGGTTGAGATTCGGTAGGCCTCAGATGGCAGGCGTTTGCGATGAGGAGAGTACGGTTTCAATGGTGATGCAGCTGGGGGCCGATGTGGCGGCAAAGAGGGATGATACAGTCCCCAGAAGAGGCAAACGGAGGAAGCGGACCAGGAGGACGATGGACGAGCAGGATACCGATGCAGACAGGGATCTAAGTCGCGTCGTCGTCTGAACCGACGTCGCCCGAAACGTCGCTACCGTTATCATTGATGAGGAATTGCGTCGCCATGGCAACCACCGTCAGCATCATGATCATTAGTATCGCTGTCGGTGATCACCATCGGCATCATCATCGCCATCGCCATCACCGTTCTCCATCACCCTCATCATCGTAGTATTCGTCGCCATGGTTAGCATCAGCGTCGACGATATCGGCGTCAGTCGTCGAATGCGCGGCGCTAGCTCCTGCCAAGCACAACTGGCCGATCGTGTCCGTCTGGGTATGCAGCGCCTCGGGATGCGGTGCGGAGGTGAGGAACGCGAGAGGCAGATGCATGGGTCCTCATCCTCATCCCTCATCCTCATCCCTCGTCCTCAGCCTCGTTCTCATCCTCGTCCCTCCTCGTCCTCATCCTCGTCCTCATCCTCAACCTCGCCCCCCTCCTCATCCTCGTCCTCATCCTCATCTGCATCCTCCTCCTCATCGTCGAGCCCGATCGCCAATCCTGGTCCTCATCCTCATCCTCATCCTTATCCTATCCGTGCTCGTCTGTTCTCCGATCCATGTGCCTCGGGCTGAACTAATCCTAGAAACTCTGCCTATCGGAATTCTCATGTCCTCCTCGAGCTCCTACTCCTGGTCCCCTCCCTACTGCGCCCGCGCGGCGAGCGTTGGTTCGCCCACCCACGTTTTCGGGTTCACGAGCTTGCGCGTCATGGCCTCGAGGGAAGGCCGATCCTTTCCTTCCCGCTCCTTCTCCTCCTGAGGAGCTCCTGCCCTCTCGACCTCTGGATCTCTCCTGCTCTCTCGACCTCATGCCTCTCGACCCTTTCCCGCTCAGGGCGTCGGCGGATCCTGCCAACAACGATCGACGATCGATGACAACGAAGCGTCGCGAGCTCGTGACGCTTCGTTGTCATCGATCGTCGTCATCGTATTTTGTTGGCAGGATCCGGGGCCCAAGCTGGAATCCAACACGGTGCGGGTGCGTGACCCTGCTTGCTTGCCCGAGCCCCGCCTTGTCTGATCCTTCCATGCGTTGCGCGCGCGACCGCGGGCTGGGCGCCCTCGGGCCAAGCCGCGCGGAGCGCGCGCGCGAGCTCGCGCGCGAGCATGGGTCGAAGGGCTCAAGAAACGAGGAGGCGGACGAGGAGAAGGGGGAGGAGCAGGAAGGGGAGGAGAAGGGGGAGGAGCAGGAGGAGGAGGACGAGGAGGAGGAGAAACAAAGCACGACGATGATGATGAGGAGGAGGAGGAGGAGGGGAAGGAGGAGAGGACTTGCGTATATCCTGACAACGCAAGGAAGGGAAAGAAACGCCGAGCCGAGCCGAGCTAATTGGTCGGCGGTCTCCTGATCGCAGGGTGAGTCATAAGAATTCTTTTGCCGACTCGAAAACCCAAGTGTTAAAACCCACTCATCTTATTTTTTTCATTATGTGATCGAATGCGGCGTCAATGTAGGATTATAAGTTTTAAAAAATTACTGCAGCATGTATAGATTTCTATCAAGCGGGGGATGTTAACTCGAAAACCACATGTTGAAAACCCAATGCAAAACTTCATTCTCTGAACAGAAGAGGCGATCATCTGAATGTGGAATATATAAAACGCATATACACCATGCAGCGCGCGCGGGCGGGTCACCCGCGCGCGCGCCGCCCTCCGCGCGCATGTGCATTTTGATACAACGGTGGCGATGTTAACTCGAAAACCCAATGGTGAGAACCCAATGTAAAAATTCATTCTCCGATCGGAAGAGGCGATCATCTGAATGTGGAATATACAAAACGCATATACACCATGCAGCGCGCGCGGGCGGGTCACCCGCGCGCGCGCCGCCCTCCACGCGCGTGTAAATGTGGATACAACAGGGGCGATGTTAACTCGAAAACCCAATGGTGAAAACCCCATGTAAAACTTCATTCTCTGATCTCATCAATGTGGAATATACAATTTCGCATATGCACCATGCAGCGCGCGCGCCGCCCTCCGCGCCCTCGTATACATATTGATGTACAACAGGAGCGATGTTAACTCGAAAACCCAACTGTGAAAACCCAATGCAAAAATTCATTCTCTGATCGGAAGAGGCGATCATCTGAATGTGGAATATACAAAACGCATATACACCATGCAGCGCGCGCGCGGGCGGGTCACCCGCGCGCGCGCCGCCCTCCACGCGTATGTACATTTTGATATACAACGGGGGCGATGTTAACTCGAAAACCCAATGGTGAAAACCCAATGTAAAAATTCATTCTCCGATCGGAAGAGGGGATCATCTGAATGTGGAATATACAAAACGCATATACACCATGCAGCGCGCGCGCGGGCGGGTCACCCGCGCGCGCGCCGCCCTCCACGCGCATGTAATTGTTGATACAACAGGGGCGATGTTAACTCGAAAACCCAATGGTGAAAACCCAATGTAAAACTTCATTCTCTGATCTCATCAATGTGGAATATACAATTTCGCATATGCACCGTGCAGCGCGCGCGCCGCCCTCCGCGCCCTCGTATACATATTGATATACAACAGGAGCGATGTTAACTCGAAAACCCAATGGTGAAAACCCAATGCAAAAATTCATTCTCTGATCGGAAGAGGCGACGATCTGAATGTGGAATATACAAAACGCATATACACCATGCAGCGCGCGCGCGGGCGGGTCACCCGCGCGCGCGCCGCCCTCCACGCGCGTGTACATTTTGATATACAACAGTGGGCGATGTTAACTCGAAAACCCAATGGTGAAAACCCAATGTAAAACTTCATTCTCTGATCTCATCTGAATGTGGAATATACAAATTCGAATATACACCATGCAGCGCGCGCGCCGCCCTCCGCGCCCTCGTATACATATGGATATACAACGGGAGCGATGTTAACTCGAAAACCCAATGGTGAAAACCCAATGTAAACATTCATTCTCTGATCGGAACGGGCGATTATCTGAACGTGGAATGCACATGCGCCAACATAATGCGGCGGCATCGGATTATTGCCCATGCGGTCGTTCAACGCGCGATCCAACAAAAAACAAGACATACGCAACAAAAACAAGACATGATACAGAAAAACAAGACATGCCCAAAAAAACAAGACAACGTCAACAACATCACAGCATGGCGCGATTTTCAAGACAAAACAGCAGTCTTGAAAAAAATGCAGCTGGAGGATGTCAGGGGCACCCAGGCGCCGTCCTGGCCCTTGCGCCAGCCCGCTGGCGGCATGCTGGATGCCCTCGCCCTCGCCGAAGATGCCCTCCGGGAAGTAGTTGGGCAGCTTCTCGGCCGCCTCGCGGATGAGCGGGGCGATCCCTCGCTGCTCAGCCTGTGCCAGGACCCGGGAGGCGGTGACAACGTCCACGTAGATGCGGAGGCTGGACTCTGTGAGCCACCGTCCCGCCTCCTTGATGTCCTGGAAGGGGACGCCACGAGCCACGGAATCGCTGGCGAACCCTGCGCGCGCCGAGTGAGGCGCCCAGTGAATGTCGAGGCCCAAGGCTGCTTCAAACTGCTTGAGCCGATGCCTGTAGTCGACGAGCGAATAGGGAAAGAGGAGCCCCTCGGGCGGCGTTCCCAAGACTACTCGGTGCAAGAGGTTCTCCAGCACTCCGCCCTGCTCCAAAATAATGGCGAACTGCATCCTTTTGGCCTTTGTCCCCGACTTGGCCCCCAGGTTGATAACCCAATTAGGCTGCAGGTCAGGTCCCCCTCTAGACGATGGCAAGGATATGTCTTTTGCTCTAAGCTGAAGCATCTCCGATGGGCGCAAGCCGCGGTCCACCTGCAGCAGCAGGCCTACGCCCAGCCGCGGCACGCCCCAGCAGGAGAAATAGATGGCGGCCAGGTTAGCCGGCGCGCGGCCCAGCGGCGGCGCGTGCTCCACCTCAGCCGACACTCGCCACGCGTCGATCACTGAGTGGGACCACGTCAGCTTCCTCCTCAGGCGTGGGAAGACGAACTCCACCGCCGCGACGGCGTACTCAAAGTTGCACTTGGTCATCTGCATGTCATTCTTGTACTCGACAAGCAGGTCGCCCCACTGCTCGGGCCCGTCGGGGACGAAGCCGCGTTCGTCCAGGTAGGTCACGAACTTCATAGCCGCCGCCCTGTAGGCCGCCAGGGTGCGCGGCTTAACCTTCTCAACAGAAGTGCTGTCCAGCTTCCTCGGCCCCGACATGAGGTAGGCCGCGGAGCTCAGCACGAGTCAGGCACCTCGATATCTTATCAGCAGGCCGCCTGAGCGTCTCCACCCATGGAATCAAAATCTTTGTGCGAGATGCCATTCCTGCTGCGGTCTTCTGACGCAACAGGTGGTTCAAAAGGTGCGCCGGGGACCTGCCCTTGCTCACCGCACCTGAGACGGGCTGGTTGTCCTCCAGGATCGGCAGCACGGTGCGGTGAAGGGCAGGAGTGGCGGCCGCCAGCCTGCTGATCTTCACGACGCAGCGCCCCTCGCCCAGCGTGATGTGGTCGGCCGACCGCCACCTGCCCGCCCCTACGATCGTCCAGTCCTCGTCGGGCTTGAATACGCGATCGGGCAGGAGGCTGAAGGGCTTCGTCCGTCTGATGACCTGCTCGGGGCGCCGCAGTCCAGTGAGCTCGCCGTCCAGCCTCGCCACGGTGTAGCCCAAGTTGCCGCCCGTGTCGATGAAGTCCTTCGCGATGTCCTCGCTCATGTCGGTCACCAGGATCCCCCAGCCGCCGTCGTCCTCCACGTTGGCGCCCATGGCGTCCGCCGCGAAATACACGGGCGCTGGCGGGGCTCCCAGGTCAGCGTACATCAACGGGACGACCCTAGCCATGGCCCGCAGCTCCCTGCGGACGGTCGCCCAGGTGCTCACCCGCTGGTGCGGGTACCTCTCCAGGAGTCTGAAGACGGCGCTGGGTATGCAGAGCAGCTCGCGTCGCAGCAGTGCGCCCCAGATCCACACCCCCAAGAGCGAGCGCAGCTCCTCGGTGTGGAGGGTGCGGGCGGCGCCCATCGCCTCCAGCTGCTGCACCAGCTCCCGAGCCCTCTTCGGAGGCAAGCGCAGCTGCGCTGGACGCGCCTGTGGTGCGTAGCCCAGCACCTTCTGCATGTCGCTGGCCTCCGTGCGGTCGGTGACCACGAAGCCGGCCTCGGCCAGGGCGTCCGCCAGCTGGTGCATCTTCCCAGTGGCCCGTGGGCCGCAGCCGCTGCCCCCTGCCATCACCGCGCCGTCGTCGACGTGCAGGTAGAAGGCCATCTGCGGCCCGTCCAGCACCAGCCCGCGGCCGCGAAGCACGTCCTCGTTCCGCACGGCCACCGCTGGTGCCGCAGTGCTCCGCGAGCCCCATGCTGTGACCGCCCTGTCGGCCTCTGGCGGCCTTCGCCACCCGGTGCCGCCCAAGCCGGTCTGCTCGAAGATGGCCAAGGTCCGGACAATCAGGATGCCCAGCGACTCGCACATCCCCTCGGGGTACTGGGCCAGCGGGCTCGCGCGGAAGGTGCCGTCGGCCAACTTGCCCTCGGCCGACTCGTGGACGTGGGACCCGTCGCACCGCAGCTCATTCAGGTCCTCCAGCCCCTGCAGCGTGCCGCTCAGGCACGTGGGCTTCTTCGTCCGCCCGCCCAGCATGCACTGGTCCAAGCACGCTCTCCGAGACGAACGCCTCGTCTCGAAGTCCAGCATCTCATTCGTGTTCCAGATGGATGGGTAGGGCGCGTGCCCTGGGTCCTCCGGGTGCTCGATGAGGAAGGCGCCGCCACTCTGGCCGCGCGCCTCGCAGAGCGCCAACAAGTTCAGCGTCAGGGTGTTACTCTCCGCGACTCTCGCGGCCTCCCAGGCCTTGAGACCTGGCAGACCCCGGGGGCACAGCCGCGAGCGCACCGGTGGCGGGCCAGGTCGGCGACGATTGTAGCGCGCCCGCGACCAGGTCGAACAGGGCGGGCCGCCCAGCACGATGTCCACCCAGCCGCCCTCGCACAACTCCATCAAGGCGGAGAAAGTGGAGGGGTTGGCCAGGTCCCACCGCGGGTCGTCCAGGAGATCGGCGGAAAGGAAGATCACCCTCAAGTTCCGCTCCTTCGCCAGCCTCTCTACCACCTCCTGAACGTCACCACGCCGCCGACGGCCAGCGAAGAGATGCATCACCACCATCACCCGCTCGTCCGCTCTCTTCGCCCGCTTCACGGCCTCTATCCACTCTGCCACGCTGTAGCCCGCCGGGCTAGGCGGCGCGGCGCGGCAGCTGGACTGCTGCCCGAGCCAGTCGTCGTCGTAGCGATGCTGTTGAGCGCCCTCAGGTCCGGCATCCACGCAGTCGCCATCCTCCAGCCCCCCGTCCTCGGGCGGCGAGGTGCGTGGCACACCGCTGGCAGCGCCGTCGGCGGGTGCCGCGGCGCCCGCAGGCGCCCCCAAGCGTGCGCCCACGCCCAGCAGCGCCCTGCCAATGATCGCCATGTTGACCGTCATCAGCAGGTGCACGGAGTGCGAGCCGCCCATGGCCAGGCGATGGTAGCAGGGGGCTATCCAGCCCGTCGGCCCCACCATGTCGCGCAGGCGCTGGCTGAGCTTCGCCCACACCCAGCAGGCGCGGATCGGCGGGCATGCCTGCCACTTGGCCATCCAAGCGGGGACGCGGAGGCGGGTGAAGGCGTTGTCCTCGTCGAACGCCGCAACGCCCCACTCGTCCGTCGGGACGCACATGGAGGCGATGGCCGCCCCGCCGTGCATCCCGTGGTCCCCGCGCTGGCGCGGGTCGGCCCACGCGTAGTTGCTGGCGCACATCATCAGGACCTTCCTCTGCTTGGCGGGGTCCTTCTTGGGCACGCAGCTGAACCCGCAGTAAGCCTGGACGTCGCGGGGGGCCTCGAACGTCCACATGTCCTTCGGCAAATCGTCCCGCATCAAGTAGCGGGCGTATTCCGACGTCGAGCCCCCCACGAAAGCGAAACGTTCCTCCAGCTCCTCGAAGATGACCCCTGACTTGCCGCTGTAGTCCAGCACGTTCCGCTCGTCCGAGTAATACTGGCGCTCGCCGTCGGGCAGCGCCTCCAGCAGGTCCACGACCATGTCATCAGGTGGCTCTGCCACCGCCGCTGCGCACATCGCCACGTGCCTGCTCACGCCCTTGCGCTCTCCAGTGTAGGCGTCCTGCGGTCCTCTGTCGCAGGCAAGATCCGCCCCTTGACCGCCTGTCGGGGCAAGCCCCCGGCAGTCGCGCTCGTACCGCGCCGCGTCCTGTAGCGCGTACTGCTGCACGAGCTGCCAGGCCAGCATCATCTCGTCGTCGCTCGACTCGCGCTGGCCCGCTGGTCTCGCCTCCAGGGATCCGCGGTCCATCCCATTCATGAGCTCGATGAGCCCGCAGGCCCGACGCCACACGCGCATGCGTCGAGCCCAGCGCGTCCTCAACCTGCCGGAAGAGGAAGCTCCTTGTTGTGGCCGATGAGGTAGAGGAATGGGAAAGAACAACCGGGCCTCGGCCTCCTTCCACTGCAGGGCCCGCGTCAGCGAGCCAGGCAAACCCGCCACTGGCATTCTAGGCTGCACCCGCGGCGGCGGGGCACCTTCTCGGACCGAGGGAGGGTCGTAAGCCCCTCGGTCCGCCAGTGACCGTCAGGCCTGGGGCTTGCCTCGGCCCGAGGGCTTACCCCCTCGGCCGCGGCCGCGCCCCCCGCCGTCGCCACCTCTGCCTCTGCCGCCACCAGCTGCCTCGGCGCCGCTGCCAGCGCCACCTCCGTGTCCCCCGCCGCGGCCGCCGCCTCGGCCGTCGCGCTTGCTGGCGGCGTGGACCCTCTCGTCGCGCTGGTGCTCAGCCTTGCTGTGGGTCGTGGCCTCGGTCACCAGCCAGGTGGGGGCCAAGTCGGCGGCCGACCCGGGCGGGCGAACAGCCAACATTGCCGCCGCCCCCACCTTGCCCTTCGTCCGCATCTCGTAGACGCAGCTCGCCAGCCGCCTCAAGTGCAGCTCCAGCGCGTCGTCGGACGCCAGGCGGGTGAGCAGCTCGGACTGAGTCTTACACCCGCCCAGCAAGTAGTCCACGTTGGTGGCGGCGGTCCACAGATCGGCCCAGACCGGCGTGCGCCGCTGGCCCGTCACCTCCTGCGACAGCCAGTCGCGTGCGCTGGCCGCCCCCGCCCCCCGCATGGCGCGGTAGATCTCCGGCGCCGCGCGCCTCAGATCCGGCGGGGGGCTCAGGTTCCAGCGGCTGTCCTCTTGCTGCTGCTGGGTCTGCGGGGCCACGGCCCAACCGGGGGAGGCCTCCATGCCCGCGCCGTGCGGCGCCGTGGCGGAGGAGAGCAGCGCGTCCAGCTCCTGCGGCAGCGACCCTCCTGGCGGGGACTTCGTCCCCGCGCCCACGTAGCCGTGGGTCTGCAGCACTCGTCGCAGGTCAGGGTGCAGCCCCAGGTTACCGTCCACGGCCGCGATTCTCTCCCAGAAGTGCCAGGCCCAGTAAACGTTCGTGGCAGCCTGCGCCTGGAACTCGCGGAGCGTGGCCAGCACCATCTGCACCTCTCGCCCTAGCTTCACAGCATCGGCAGGAGCGTGAGGCGCGTGGAAGCTGAGCCCAGCCGCTGGCACGGCCCCCTCCGGCGGCGGCTGCGGCTGCTGCTGCTGCTGCTGCTGCAGGGCCGCCGTCTGGCTGAAGGGGCCTGGCACCTCGCTCCCCTGGGCGAAAGCCCGCAGCGCCGCCAGGTCCTGCGAGCCGGGCTTCGCCGTCGCGGCAGCCGCGCCCGCGCCCTCGGCAGGTGGGGCCCAAGGCGGCGGCGGCAGCGCCGCGAGCCCAGGCGGGGGAAGCGGGCCCGTAGGTGCCTCCGCGGTCGCCGCGCAGCTCCCCTTGGGCGTCGGGGCCCCCGGAGCGCCCCAGGCCGCGCCGTCGTCCTCGGCGGCAGCGAGGTCCAGGCCGTCCCCGCCGCTGCTGAGCGCCGCGGCGAAGGCCGAGCGCCGCCCCCAGCGCGTCCACCAGGCGGTCACACGCTCGGGCACGCGCCGCACGAGCAGGGAGGTCCCGCACAGCCCCACTGCCGCGCCCGCCAGGCGGTGCCGCCCGGAGTCGGCCCACAGCACCACCACCAGGCTGGACAGGAAGAGACCGATGCCCAGGTGCAGCACCCAGTCGGCGGGCAGCGTGTCCCCGTCCTCGCCGACGGCTCGGGCCCAGATCCGGTCCGCGACCTTCTCCCAGCCATCGGTGTCGGCGGCTACTCGTCGAATCCGACTCTCCGCCTGAGTGGAGAACGTGGCGGCCTCTGTGAACCCCCAGAGGGCCTCGGCCATCTCGGAGCCCGGGACCTCAGGGTTCCCCAAAGCCAGGCGGACGGCCACCGGGTCCAGCGCTGCCTCCAGCCGTCGCGCCTCGTCCAGCTTCGAGCGGGGGGCCCGCCCCGCGTTCAACGTCGATCGCACCTTCAGGACGAGCCCCGCGACCTCGTCGTCTGAGACGTCCGCACCAGCGGCCCGCAGCGCCTCGGTCCCTGCCTTTTTGGCGCCCGCCGAGACCGCCATCCAGCTCCGCCTGGCCGCTGCCGCGCCCTCGGCGCGGGGCGCCCAGCACACCAGCTAGCCGCGGCCTGCTGCACATGGGCAGCGCGCCGCGGCCTCGCACTCGTCTTCGATTCCACGGGTGGAGTCCGCTGCTCCCGTCAGGGCGCCATGCCGCGCCCTGCAGCGAGGTGGGCTGGGCGCCCAAACCTCGCGATAATCTGTACCACATTGGAGCCAAATGATACGGTTGCGGAGCAGGCCGTGCAGCACACGCGAGGGCAGGGGGGCCTTCACGGGCAACCAAAACACAACCTACCGAGCCCACCCGTTTTGGAGGGCCGAGGGGAGCCAGGCCGGGAACTTGGCCCTCCGGCGAAAAGGCCCCCCAACACGCTGGCACGCCCCTGCGGGCTCCGAGGCTCCAAGGAAAATTCCACGATCCCACCCCAAACTGTCGGTCCACATCAACACTCATGCTCTACGATTATTATCCCATCATCATCGTCATCATCATCATCATCATCATCATCACCATCATCATCATCATCAGCATCATCATCATCATCATCATCATCATCATCATCATCATCATCATCATCATCATCATCATCATCATCATCATCATCATCATCATCATCATCATCATCATCATCATCATCATCATCATCATCATCATCATCATCATCATCATCATCATCATCATCATCATCATCATCATCATCATCATCATCATCATCATCATCATCATCATCATCATCATCATCATCATCATCATCATCATCATCATCATCATCATCATCATCATCATCATCATCATCATCATCATCATCATCATCATCATCATCATCATCATCATCATCATCATCATCATCATCATCATCATCATCATCATCATCATCATCATCATCATCATCATCATCATCATCATCATCATCATCATCATCGTCATTATCACCATCATCATCGTCATCATCATCATGGGGCCACGAAACGTGTGCACACCCCTCACACGTTTCGTGGCCCCATAGGGAGCTCCAGCGAAGGCCCCAGTGGCTGCGCTCCATTTCGGCACACCCCTCACACGTTTCGTGGCCCCATAGGGAGCTCCAGCGAAGGCCCCAGTGGCTGCGCTCCCATGCGCCCACCGCACCCACTTCGGCACACCCCTCACACGTTTCGTGGCCCCATAGGGAGCTCCAGCGGGCCCGAGCGAAGCGCTGGCTGCGCTCCCATGCGCCCACCGCACCCATTTCGGCACACCCCTCATACGTTTCGTGGCCCCATAGGGAGCTCCAGCGAAGGCCCCAGTGGCTGCGCTCCCATGCGCCCACCGCACACATTTCGGCACACCCCTCACACGTTTCGTGGCCCCATAGGGAGCTCCAGCGAAGGCCCCAGTGGCTGCGCTCCCATGCGCCCACCGCACCCACTTCGGCACACCCTTCATACGTTTCGTGGCCCCATAGGGAGCTCCAGCGAAGGCCCCAGTGGCTGCGCTCCCATGCGCCCACCGCACCCATTTCGGCACACCCCTCACACGTTTCGTGGCCCCATAGGGAGCTCCAGCGAAGGCCCCAGTGGCTGCGCTCCCATGCGCCCACCGCGCAGATTTCGGCACACCCCTCACACGTTTCGTGGCCCCATAGGGAGCTCCACGAAGGCCCCAGTGGCTGCGCTCCCATGCGCCCGCCGCACCCATTTCGGCACACCCATCACACGTTTCGTGGCCCCATGGGGAGCTCCAGCGAAGGCCCCAGTGGCTGCGCTCCCATGCGCCCACCGCACCCATTTCGGCACACCCCTCACACGTTTCGTGGCCCCATAGGGAGCTCCAGCGAAGGCCCCAGTGGCTGCGCTCCCATGCGCCCACCGCACAGATTTCGGCACACCCCTCACACGTTTCGTGGCCCCATAGGGAGCTCCAGCGAAGGCCCCAGTGGCTGGGCTCCCATGCGCCCACCGCACTCATTTCGGCACACCCCTCACACGTTTCGTGGCCCCATAGGGAGCTCCAGCGAAGGCCCCAGTGGCTGGGCTCCCATGCGCCCGCCGCACCCATTTCGGCACACCCTTCGTACGTTCTGTGGCCTCATAAGGGGGCTCCAGCGAAGGCCCCAGTGGCTGCGCTCCCATGCGCCCACCGCACCCACTTCGGCACACCCCTCACACGCTTCGTGGCCCCATAGGGAGCTCCAGCGAAGGCCCCAGTGGCTGCGCTCTCATGCGCCCACCGCACCCATTTCGGCACACCCCTCACACGTTTCGTGGGCCCATGGGGAGCTCCAGCGAAGGCCCCAGTGGCTGCGCTCCCATGCGCCCACCGCACCAACACCCCTCATACACTCCCCCAGTGGCTGCGCTTTCGTGTTTCGTGGCCCCATAGGGAGCTCCAGCGAAGGCCCCAGTGGCTGCGCTCCCATGCGCCCACCGCACACATTTCGGCACACCCCTCACACGTTTCGTGGCCCCAGAGGGAGCGCCATCGAAGGCCCCAGTGGCTGCGCTCCCATGCGCCCACCGCACCCATTTCGGCACACCCATCACACGCTTCGTGGTCCCATGGGGAGCTCCAGCGAAGGCCCCAGTGGCTGCGCTCCCATGCGCCCACCGCACCAATTTCGGCACACCCCTCACACGTTTCGTGGCCCCATAGGGAGCTCCAGCGAAGGCCCCAGCAGCTGCGCTCCCATGCGCCCACCGCACAAATTTCGGCACACCCCTCACACGCTTCGTGGCCCCATAGGGAGCGCCATCGAAGAAGATACTCACAATTGCGGCACTCGCAACTGCATCTGGTTGGGTCCTTCGCCCGGATATTTTGTTGTTTTTCTTCCCCAGCGCGGCTCCATCAACGAAGCACGTCCATGCTTCAATCGGGTGTCTGGGAAGTTCCACGGAGACGCCAGCGACAGAATGCACAAAAACGCAACGTCTCCAATGTCAAGCTCCGATCTACTTTCAGCTGTCAAGCATTCCTCCGGGGGCGTAGACTCAGGGGGGGGGCTACCAGGGAGACCTCCAGCTGCACCTCCCCTCAGACCTCGGCGTCGCAGAGAGATCGTGTCGGCAGGCTTCTCCCAACTCTTCGGCCTCTGGAGGCCGTTCCCAAGCCCTGGGGCGGTGAGAAAACGACGCAGGATGAAAAGCCAGGAAAGAGAGGGGGGAAGGTAAACTAGATCCTGGGTCCTGAACCTGGAGGTGTGGTAGGGCAGGGACACCGGCCGGCCCAATAAGTACTAGCCCATCCCTCCCCCCTCCCCGTTCACCATGCGTACCCCGTTTCGGCCACGCTCCCCCACCGGCCTCATCCCCGGCCTCGCCCACTCCCACAAGCGTTCTTCCCGCTCCAACGCATCATGACCCCACCACCACCACCACCACCGTCATCATCATCCTCTCCAGCAGAAGCAGCATCATCAACAACAACAACAACAACAACAACATCAACATCATCATCATCATCATCATCATCATCATCATCACCATCGTCATCATCATCATCATCATCATCATCATCACCATCATCATATCATCATCATCAGTATCATCATCATCATCATCATCATCATCAGCATAATCATCACCATCATCATCATCGTCATCGTCATCGTCATCGTCATCGTCTTCGTCATCGTCGTCCTCCTCATCATCATTTTCCTGATCATCATCATCATCGTTATCATCTCCTCTGCCGGCTCATCATCATTTGATCATCCTCCTTCTTCTGCTGCATCATCATCGTCGTCATTATCAGCAAGATCATCAGCAGCAGCACCAATGGCATCATAATCAAGAGATCCCCCACCCGTCCATATTTTACAGAACTCTCATGTTTGTCATCCGCATGTGGTGACCTTGCAGAGACAGCACAAACCTGAACACACGCCGGCGTGATACACACAACGTACTTCACAGATCCGTGCCGGTAGTGCAATTGCTTGCGGCCCGCCAAAAGCCAGGGCGGGTAGGTCGTGCACCAATACAGACAAGGAGGGAGGCTTGAGCGAGACGTAAGCAGACCTCTGTGTTTCATCTCCGACACGTTCCTAGGACAAGTCGGAGATTCCCCACCCGATCTTATTTTACTGAACTCTCATGTTTGTCATCCGCATGTGGTGACCTTGCAGAGACAGCACAAACCTGAACACACGCCGGCGTGATACACACAACGTACTTCACAGATCCGTGCCGAACATCGAGGCACCAAAAATCGCTATCGGTTCTCTGTCGTCAGGGCGGCTCAGGGTCACTTGCACGGAAGGGGTACAGGCGGAGGCTTCGCCGAAAGACGCGATCGAAGGCAGCATCATGAAAAAACATCGGCCAGTCGATTGGCCAACAACTTTGGGTAGGCGGCGGCACGAGCGGTCCAATGACCCAGGAGAACCTGGTGTTTCTTTCCAGAGAACGAGCAAATACCACGGACAGCTTTACAACGCTTACACAAGTCGTCGGCTCGCGGCAACAGGTAGCACCTCAGCCTAGTTGGTTTGCACCAGGGAGAACCCCAACCACAGCAATTCGTTATAACATCGCGGCCCCTGGGCCAGCGAAAAACCTGAACGGCAGCTTCCATTCTCCACACGTAGGATGATTGAGGATTCTCCCACACAAACAAGGAACCCGCATCGGTTTACAACATCGAAATATCTTAATAGACACCTGAAACAGCTTGTTGCCTTCATCTACGAGGCTCTGCAGATGGGGAGGGAGAGAATGGAGGCCAGAGGGAGCCCGCGAGGATCTCATGGAATTATGGCCCCCACGGGCAACGGAGAACGACTTGCACGGAACGCCAGCTAACCACCCGAGACATCTATTGGACTTGAGCATTCGGAGGATGCGTGTCTGAACCGCGGGCCTCAGGAGGTCACCTGGGGGCCCTTGGAGCACATCAAAAGAATACACTCTAAACCCACGGCGACGAAGGGAATTCGAGAAATGCTCAGAGCCCGAGAAGATTTCAATGGAGAAAAACTCGTCTCTCTTAGCTCGGAAATCATTCAAACGTTGGCGGATAGCGAGGCGGCGGCGAGCAGCGAGGCCAGCTCGGCCTCGGCCCTCAGGCAGTAGGTCCTGGCCGTGGGCTCCATCTGGCTCCACACCGTCTGGATGAGCCCGCGCTTCTCGTAGAGTCTGACCAAGCCGGGCTGGCGCCACCTGCCGCGCCGCTGGACCTCCTGCAGTGAGATCCCCCCCGTGAAGCGGTCGTTGGACGCGCCGCTGTGTCGGGCGGTGTACCGCACGGGCATCATCCCGTCCAGGTTCAGCTCGCGCACCGCGCGATCGAACATGTCCTTGGCCACTGCCATGGTGAAGCTCCACAGGGAGCTGCTGGGCGGGCCTTGGGCCAGCCGAACCAGCAGGCTGCCCAGCCAGGGCCGCGCCGCGTCCACGGTCTCGTCCATCTCGCCAGTCTTGCTGGGCCTCTTCATGTAGTCGGGGTTGATATGGATCGCCACCTTCGACATTCGCGCCCGCGGTGGGATGATCTGGCCACGCGTCAGGCGGAACGCCTCGCCAGGCCGTAGGTAGGTGTCCACCATCAGCAGCCAGAACACTGCGAGGTCGGGGCGGCCGCTGAGCCGCCACAGCCGCCGCGCCACGCCCGTGCAAGTAGCGCACGGCAGAGGCCGCCGCGTCCGCGACGGCCGCAGAAGACGCCAGCCGCGCAGCGCGCGGTAGGCGCGCGGCAGGGCCAGCTTCCCCTTGCCCTGGTAGTCGGGCACATGCATGAAGATGGCGGCGAGCACCTTCTCCCCCGTGGACGCGATCTCCCCCTCGAGGTACAGGTCGTCGAAGAACATGACCAGGGCCGCGTCCGCGTCGGCAGCAGGCCCCGCCAGGGACTTCAGGCGGCTGCGGCGGAGGAACAGCTCGAGCAGCCGCATGTACTGCATGCGGCTCCGCCGTCCGACCGCCGCCGGCTCGGCGATGGAGAGCTGGCGGGTCGCGCCCCGAGCCTGCCCCCCAGCGTCCGGGCGGCGCCGCGCCGAGCGAGGCAGCTCCCTGGTGGGGATGTCGCGCGGGGCCGCCAGCACCACCGACGGCAGGCCGCGCCCAGCCCAGGAGCGGCGCGGCGAGCCCAGGGGGCCCGAGCCACAGCGTGCCAGCGCCCGGGGGCTCCCCAGCTCGCTGCGCTTCAGCCGCCCGGTCGCCTAGGGCGCCGCTGGGCCACGGGCCCGCGGGGGGCGGGCTGGCTGCGGGGCGGCAGAGCCCAGGCGGACTCGCCAGGGCCGCGGACCAGCTGGCGCCGGCCCGACCGTCGCCCTCGGGGCCTGGCGCCGAGCCGCGGCGGCGCCGAAGCTGACGCCCACGCGCTGCGGTATCGCGCCAGCTGGCCCCAGGTGCAGCGCGGCAGCCAGTACCCTCGCGGGCGCGACTGTCACGGTCCGCCGCCTTGAACTCGCTGGGAACCCATCGCCGATGCACGCGGGCCCCCGAAGCAAGTGTAAGAGCGGCGCCCCTGCGCAGGGCATTGAACATATATATATATATATATATATATATACGACAACGCCCCTTAGATAGTGCAAGCGTTAGTGCAAGATTGTCCCCCGAGACCACGCGCCTCTTCCCCCAGGAGCCCGCGTCCGACAGGATCAGCTTCACAGCGTGTAAGTCTCCTCTTGCCCCCTTACGATGCATAGGCTCCTTCCCGAAAAAGCGGCGAATAGTGCGTGGTCGTCCAGGTGGTGCGGCGGATGGCGCGCGTCGACACTTCAGGGGATCTCTTGTTGGCGAGACCCCCTTGCAACAGAACATACGGGTGTGCATCGAGCTCGGCGGCCTCGGCCGCCGGTGCCGCGCGGTCGCGTGGCCACCAGCCCCCGTCGCCCTCACGCGCGCGGCGGAAGCGCCACCGCTCGTGCCACCGACCAGCACGCTGCACCTCCGACAGCTCCCACTCGCCCACGACGGAGGCGTGGCCCGTCTCGCAGGCGTCGGCCATGACGACCTCCGTGGACCACTCGGCGTCGAGGTCCGAGCTGAGCGCGATCAGCAGCCCTCGGAAAATCCTGTGCTCGCGCCGCGCGAACGCCCACACGGGCCTGGCACGATGGTACCTATGCTGAACAAAAGAGTACACGGAGCTGAAGCAGCTCATGCTCTCGCGCCTACACAGCGCGGCGAAGGTGCAGCGGCCGATGACGCGCTCGATGTCGCGGCTGGTGACGCGGGGCCGGCCCTGCGCCAGGCGCCCGAGCCCCATGTAGAGCTTCCAGAAACGCCGCGGCGCCAAGGCGGCGCGGGCGGGGCACCCCTCGAGCTGCCCGCCGAGCATCATCATGCTCTCGGCCGCGTCGGCCTCCTCATGGACGGACAGGCCTGCGCCCTCCAGGGCCTGGGAGGCCGCGCGCCTGACCTCGGTCACGGCCGCGAGGTCAGCGCCGACCACGAGGACGTTGTCCACGCACAGCGATTGGATGGGCTCCCTGAGCGGGCACGGGGTCGGCACGAAGTCGACCGCCCGCAGCTCAGGCCTCAGGGCGTCGGACTGGCCCGACGTCCGCTCGTGGGCCTTCTGCACAAAGAAGAGTGCCCAGCTCCACCCCGTGGGAACGACGGCAAGTTGCGGGCACAGGCCCAGGGCGGGGCACGCCGCCCGTCGAGCCTGCTGACGCCAAGCTCGCCCGCGGTGACCTTCGGCAAGCAGAAGTACGACCGCAGGTAGGCTGGCAACGTATGTTGGTAGAACGCGTTCTGGACGTCAACCCCCGCAAAGTAGAGGGGCGCGCCCTTCGGCACCTCAAGGTCCGCGAACCCCGCGGCGGAGAACGGGTTGACGGAGGGGGCGGGGGCTGAAACCGTTGGCTGCTACGCCTGCAGCCCAGCGCCATCCTGATCCGCTCGTCCTCCTTAGCCACGAAGAAGGCGGAGACGTCCTCAAACCGTTCTTTGCCCAAGGTGAAGACGCCCCGCGAGATGCCAGACTTGATGATTTCAAGGTAGAGCGGCCTGTTCCGCTCCAGCACAGGGTCCATGTACAACGTGGGCACCCCCTCTGTCTCCACGGCCTCGTTGAAGCTCGGCGGCGGCAGCAGGAAAGCATGGTCGAGGTCCAAGAGAGAGCTTCGGTCGCCAGCGCCAAGCCGGTCCGCGAGCCACTGAGGCTCGTTTCCCAGCTCGGGCCAGCTCACGAGGCGCGGAGCGCAGGGCCTCAGCGGCAAGTCATTAGTCGTGTCGCAGTGGAGACACGGGCGGCCCAAAAGCTCCGAGCAGGCTTCGTGGGCCGACGTGCTCGGAGGGGCGGCCATCTTGCGACGCAGCCCTCGAACCCGAAGTAACAAACCATCCAGCTGCGAGAAGCGCCCTGGCATGACCCGCGGCGTGGCGTAGCCCCCAGGCAGGTTGAGGCACTCCGCGATGTCCCGAGTACGCTCCTCGATCAACGAGGCGCGAGACAAGCGAGCCCGAACTGCGCGGGATAGCTCAGGCGGGGGGGGCCGAGCAATCGGCGACGCGGGCACCGCGAACGGCAGCGTGCCATCGCCGCGAGGTTGGACATCAGCACGTCCACAAAACTGGCTCTGGCATCGCGGCGGTCGGGGCGAGCCGAGCCCCGACCCCCGCCCCCAGGCCACCCCTGACTCTCCTTGCCCGACTGGGCGGTCTTCTCCTCGCGCGCCTTGCGACGCTGCTTCTGGATCTCCGTCTCCTTGGCCAGCTGGTCGGTGGCGTACTTGGCGACGCCTGGAGACATGGCAACGCCACGGCGGGCGCTCTGCTTCTGGCGGCCGATGCAGTGCTCGACGCCCTCAATCTTCATGCCCCCCATGGTCTTCTCGATCAGCTGGTAGGCCCTCGGCGCCACCTCCATGCAAGCAAGGTTCGAGCCGTCCACCTGATCGTAGGTGACCCCGAGCTCGATCGAGAAGCCGAGGAGGTCGTGGAGGTGGGCGGCCGCTGAGTCCTTGGCGCAGCCGCTCTCCATCATCCACTTGGTGTGGCGGCCGTCGGGTGTGCCACCGTGGTCGACAATGCACTCGCACAGCCACTTGAAACTACGCTCCCCTACGAGCGGGAAGTCGTCGCGCTGCTCCTGTCGCATGGCCGTGACAGCATCGTGGAAGTCGCGGTGCCCACGTCCCTCCCGCGTCCGCTGGAGAGGGCTGAGAATGCGAGCGTCGTCGTCGCCCAGCTTGTCCAGCACGTCGGCGGGCAACGGGACGGGGTGAAACTCCATCGGCACGACAAAGCCGCCCGCTGTGCGGTAGAGCCCGCTCTCACCCCAGACCACGTCGCCGGCCTTCGGGACGACCTCGTCCAGCTGCTGGCACTCGTTCGGGATCGTCTTCATAGTGAACCAGGCGGACCCTGGAGGGGCGGCGCTCTCATGACTGAGCACCGTCGGGCCAGGGCCGCCCCTTGGGGTCTCTGTGCCCCCCACTTCGCCGTCGGCGAGCGCCACCCCCTCGCCGTCGAGCTGTGCGCTGGGCGCGACAGGGGGCGCGAGCACGGACGGGCTCTTCTGCGACACGCGGCGGGCAAGGCCTGGCACGTCGGAGAAACTGACCGTCATGCTGGTGGAAGGCTGGTCGCCGCCGCGCATGAAGACGGTCGGCTCGGAGTGGACTAGGCCCGCAGCGCGGGCAGCAGCACGAGCATCCCGAAACAATTGAATCATATCATTCTCGGCGGGGAGGCTGCGAAACCTATAGACACGTCCAGGAGGCCGAAGAGCCGCTGGTGTCGCCCCCACCGTCAAAGACACACGGCTCGGTCCGTCTCCAGTTGGACCCGATGCCATGTCCTCGGGGTACACGTCGCCGTCTGGCGTGAGGCACGTCCAGCACGCATTGGGGAAAGCCCCCACTGATGGCCACAAGAGTAGCCGTTCGTGCCATATGTTCGGGTCGTCGCCGTAGTAGAAAGAAACCACCCACCCTGGCACCAACTCACGAAAGAAGGCCTCCGCCGCGGCGACGCTCCCGTCGCTCGACAGGAGCCTCAAGTCTGCGGGCAGCAGGGCCATGACGATGTCGGAGGGCGGCGAAACAAATAGCGCACTGAGTCAAGGCCGCAGTGAGCACTACCCCGATGGCGTGCCAGAGGAGCGCGCTGGGCTCCGTGGGCTGCTCGCTCCTAATGCCGCGGAGCTCGACCAGCTCCGACGACAAGTTGGCTAGTGCGACCTGGAGCCGCCCCAGCCGTGAGTAGCACTCGGTGAGGTTGCCCGCGTGCGCCGCGGCGAGCTCAGCCTCGCGCTCCGCGGCCTGTTGAGCGGCGAGGGAAGCCCGACGATCCCAGTCGTCGGGTGGGCCGCCTCCGCCGCCCGCGCGCAACAGCCCAGGCTGCCACACGTCCAGAGCACACCAGATACAGACCAGCAACCACGATGGCGGCTGCAAGGCTGTGGGGCGCAT